GATCTTGGGCTTATACCACATACGCCTGGTGCGATTTAAAAGCCTTGGGTCCAGGACTCGAACCGCGGTTTACTACATGGGAATCCAGCAACATAGTCATTACGCTAACTGATGGTCCCTGAAATATCATTTCTGAAAATATGACCAGAAAACTGAAGAACTGAGGTAGATCACAAGAAAGCCAACAGGGAACCAGCAGTTAGCGTAATGGCTATGTCGCTGGACTCCCACGTAGTTGACCGTGGTTCACGTCCCGGACCCGGTGGCTTAAAACTCACACCGGGCGCGTGTGCGTGCGTGCCCAAGATCCCGAGAGGAGAATGGAGGAGAAGGGATTGCGGCGTGACCATCTCCCCTGGGGGGTGATTTCTTACTTTCTGTCTCTATGTCTCTCTCTGCCTCTGGTGAGTACACGCGCCCTATAGCGAAAAACCTCTCCACAAAAAAAAAAAAAAATGCCAACAGAAGCTCTTGGAAAGATTGCCTGGTACCATAAACAGTTCTGCCTGGGAGATAAGTAAAGTATGTCACTTCCTAACAGGCCCTAAAACCTTTCAACTACAGGTACTTAAAGGCATAGGCAGATGGTGAGTCCCTGACTTGGCTCAGTAGCCTTAGAAGGCTTTTCAAAGAGTCTAATCTGAAGTTCCTTGTAAAAGGTTCCTGCAAAGGCAACTAAATCAATTAGTATTCTTATGGGGTTTTGTGCAAATAACAGAACAAATTGAGATCAAATTTATTTATTCATTCATTTTTGCAAGTAAGTTAGTTTATGCCTCTTTAGTAAAAGGGGGAATAGAGAGAGAAAAAAAATGTTTAAGATGAAAATTACACTGCACTTGCTACTAGATTTTACCTTTGTCCATATCTGTTTTTTGAGTTTTGTAGTATGTACCAATATAATGTTAGGTATAGATTTTACATAGATGGCTTTTATTGTGTTGAGAAATGACACCTCTATGTCAATTTTGCTGAGTCTTAATTATGAAGGAATGTTGCATTTTATCAATTGCATTTTGTGCATTGATTGAAATGATCATACGGTTTTTATCTTTCTTTCTGTTAATATGATGCATTAAGTTTATGGTTTTGCCTATGATAAATCACCTTCGTGTTGCCGAAATAAAGCCTACCTGATTGTGATGAATTAAAAGAGAGAGAGCAGATTTTATTTAACTTTCTTCTAACAGGCCATGGCTCTTGCAGACGACTGGATCTTAAGGAAGGTACCTGAGAAGCAGCTGAAGCACTCATGGTCCAGATCTCTCAGCTGCAAATATTCCCCTGAGTTTTCTGACATCTTGCTCACTGGTGCCTGCTCTATCAGTAACACATCTGGGCAGCTGAGAATTCAGCTGAGCTCTGGCAGCTGTGGAAGCACCCTTGGGGAGTTAAATATGAACTAATGCCAAGTGGGGAGGTATGAGGCCAGAGCCTTGAATATGAGTGTTTCAGAGCCTGCATGCAATGATAACCCCAGCACTGTCAGCTTCCACCCTGCCCATTTTAAATGTGAAAAATGCTCCTGACCACTGTCACTAGTTCTATCTGGAAGCCAGAGAACTGGTAGTAAACATTATAGATCAGGAGCTGTGAAGATAGACCTAACTTGTGCAGGAAGAGGTTAAAAAGCAGACATTTCTATCACTGTAGACCTGCAATAGATGGAGGCCAAAGATGATGGTGTGTTTATGAGATACACACACACACAGACAACACACATGAGTTAGAGAGAGAGAGAGACAGACAGAGAGAGAGAGAGAACATGAGAGAGAGGGAGAAGGCGAAAGCACCTCTCAGTGGGGTGCAGTCATGCCACAATCCTCCCTCTTCAATTCTCCTCTGTTCTCTAACCTGTTGAAATCTTAGAATATTGAGCTGGTGGAATGAAATATCTTTTCTGATTATCTAATAACTTTTTTTCTTTCCCTTTTAAAACAGTATATACCAAAGTTGTCATCTTAGAAACATCATTTAGGTGAAAACAATGAAAGGGATTTCCATTTCCAGGTTTAATAATAGACACTAAAAGACCAAAAGAACACTGCAAAAGGTACAAAAATACATATAAGGTAGGGAACCAGCAGTTAGCGTAATGGCTATGTTGCTGGACTCCCACGTAGTCCACCGCAGTTCGCGTCCCGGACCCGGTGGCTTAAAACTCATGCCAGGCGCGTGTGCGTGTGTGCCCAAGATCCCAAGAGGAGAATGGAGGAGAAGGGATTGCGGCGTGACCATCCCCTCTGGGGGGTGATTTCTCGCTTTCTGTCTCTCTGTCTCTCTCTGTCTTTCTGGCGAGCACACGCGCCTTATAGGGAAAACCTCTCCAAAAAAAAAAAAATAATACATATAAGGTATAAAATTCAAAGTTACGTTTTAATGAAATCAGAAGGCAATGGGAGACATGAGTCCTGGTGATTTAAAATTCCAGAGAATAGAACCCTTTCTGGAGAGCTGATGTTCACCTGCCTTTCTGTTCTCCTACAGTGTGTGACAGATTTTTTGTTGGACACTGGCTCTTATTGGTGCCAACACTAGAATACACCTAGGAAGGACAATCCAGCTGAGTCTGAGCAGTTACACAGGGTCAGTGATTTTCCCTGGACTCTCTCTGAGGTCAGAATCAGCAGGCAGGTTGGAGGTGCTGGGATAGAAAGGCATAAATCTCCCAACTACTCAGGATGTCCCCCAACCCCAGCTGCTCATACAATCCTTGAGTTATGCCTGAATCATGGACATGGGCCTCTATCTCAGCTGCTCCCCTGTTTGTGTAGATCTAGGTGGACATTTCCTTTAGCACATAATCACATTCTGCACCCCACGATCTTGAAGACATTGTCTCTGCTGGATCACATCTCAGCGTGGAGTAAGTATTAGAAACTCTCAGCTGTGCTGGGTTGAATGAGTCTGGGTGACATGACCTCCATTTTCTTTGCACAGCTACTTCATATAAGCTGTGATGATTTCAGATCTAACCACCTTCTCCATTCACTATTTTCCTATGAAACTTGTGGGGCACAAGGCTAATGCTTGCAAGCCAGGCAGTGTTCCCTTTAACTCTGTGACTATTCGCAGGAAATACATCTGCACTTCATTTTAGGTTTATCATCAGTTCACAATGTCCACTACTATCCCAGCTCTACCATATGTAAGCCAAAAAGTAGAATTGTCTCAATGCTCATGTCCTTTGTATTCCTTTATTATTCTCATTCCTGAAGTCAAAAATTACCAAGCTCTGTATTCTTCCAGTGGGACATGTGGTAAATCTGAGCTCTGGGTCATCTTATTTATGTTTTTTATATTTTAATTTTTTAACACCAGAGGACAAGTGCTCTCACCCAAAAGAGACAGAGAGAGAAAGAGGGAGATGGAGAATGTATCCTCTCCTCCAATGGGAACCTGTCAAACTGCAATTCATTATCCTCCTTTCAGCATTCCACAGGGATTTTTGGAGACTCATGCACATTCATCACATTTGCTTTACAAGCTGCAGAGTGCAGAATTCAGGCTGTGATTGGCCATGTGGGATCCTGCTCCCGTAACCATCAGGCCATTGAGCTGGCCCTATGGTCCTAATTTTAATACACAATTTTTGGAATGTAAAAAACTTCTCTTTTGTATCAGCTATAGGTAATTGTACAAATCAAAGAATTTTAGCATTAGAGTCTTGAATCTGCTATGAATTTACAAAAGTCTATTTGAATTCTCAACAACCAAGATTTTTCCCAAGTGTCCTCAGACAGCTCCTCTTAAGGATGGCGAGTATAGAATGCTCTCTCTCTGATATTTACAGTGAGCAGACAGATAGTAAACATGAAAAGTAGGAAGTTGGGAAAGTGGGAAAATACCATTTCTGACTATTAGTCAATGTCCTATCAGAATAAAAAAAAAACTGATAAAGATCAAGTTATACTCAACATGTTCATTTCTGTCATTTACACAGATTAAATGAACAAATTTAAGGAGGGAGAAAAGATTAAGATAAGCTTTTATTCAGTTGCATTATGGACCATCACATCATTATGTGCCTTCACCTTTATGGGACCACCTGTTCTCCTGCTCCAGTTTCCAGACTGAATCAGCAACATCTAATGAGGTCACAGGTGGCAGGAGTCTGAGTTGTGGGCAGGGCACCTGTGGCACAGACAGCAGCAACCTAGTCCCCTGAGCTCTCCAGCACCTTCCTCTTACAGAGGTTCAGAAGCTGCTGTGCTGCTCCCCAGACAGACAGCACATGAG